TATCATTTTGTATATAAATACTAAATAGTTTAGCTTAAATTTGTGAGCAAGCTTTTATTAGGTTGAATTTTCAAGTGAAAAAATTATCTACATACAATATATACTTGCTAATTAATACGGACTAAAAAAACACTTTACAAATCCCGAAAGATGTGAAAAAACCAGTCCCCAGTTTCTTAGGGGCGAATTAAGTAAAAAATCAAAGCAAATGGAAATTTAAATACATTAAACATATGTATTGTGTGTATGTATATTACAACTTAAGCATGAAGAGCTGAAATAAGTAGCGAGTCCCGAAATTTCGGGACTGGAATATAACGAAAATCGGAATTTTCCAACGCATGTTTGTTCAATAACGATGAACTAAATTAAATAAAGCCGAAAAACTTAACGAATTCCAAAATTTCAGGATTTGAAAAAAATGAAAATTTCCGAAACTTAACCATAATGTGCATAGGTCGAGCTTTTATCAACTAAAAAAAATAATCAAATTAAAAAAAAAGTATTCAGTATTCATACATATGTAGATTCATACACAACTTTTAGAAAATCTGTAAAAAAATTTCGGGATCTCGATACTTCTTGCCACTTTTCTTCAATATGCACGAACATAAATGAGTCACCTGCAGTTGCAAGAAGTTATGTAGTTGCACCAAAACCTTGCTCAAAAAAAAAAACGTTAGAATTTGAACGCCTTAAGTGGCGGGAAGTCCAAGCCGAGAGATCACGCCACAGTTCATTGCTGTGGTGTAAAAACCGTTGAGTTAGCTTAGCGATACCAACTGCAGATCTGGTTTTGTGAGCTCAAAAAGCCCCGACTTAAAAATCGTGATGTAGAGAGTATGGAGAGAGACAGGCACTGAGTTGAGCGAATGAGTGAAAGAGCGATGAGCCATGATATAATGGTGGTGGTCACTCTCTACATTCTTCAAAAAGCCGCTGTGGGCGCTTTGCAGTGTAACTGATATGTTTTCTTGCGTTTTTCTGCACTTTGTGCCCGCTCTAATATATGTACATACTTCGATCGCGTCGCTTCAACAGGTTCTTGTTTGTGGTTTAAATGGACCAAGTTTGTTTGTTTTTTTTTTGCTAGCTTCAATTCTGCGAAGCTATTCTTTATTGCCTTTAGAGTATTCTGCTGAACATGTCATCGCCGGCTTATTTTGTTTACACTCATTGTTTTTCCACTGACATATAATTATTTCAAAATAAACACATTAAATCTCAAAAAAGGGCGTATGTAAACAAAACAATAATAATAACAATTTTTGTTTTCATAAATAACACATAATAGTTTATGAATAACAAAATGTGTAATACCTATATTATATATAATGGGTTTCATAATTTGGACGGCGAATGGTTTTGGCTGACATACAAAGTTGTCCCACTCTTGGATGCGTTTGAGTCCTCGTCGGCGAAAGATTTTTAATTTTTCAGACAAAAATTTCGGTCATTGAGAAGATTTGTAAAATATTATTGCGCTGTTAAGTTAGTCTAAGGTGGGCAGTTGGATCCATTAGATTCCCAAATTATGCTGAAATCAAAGCTTAAGTCGATTTTGCTTTTTAACACACTGTAGTCCATTCACATCTCCTCGCACACTTTTTTTCTACTTAAATGGGCATCATTTGCCCTGCCTCTTCATTCTATCTTGCTTTCTTTTGCACCCACATTAATAGTCTCTTTACTCCGCTTATTCAAACTATCATTCATTCATTCATATATTCCCTAATGGCTATTAAATTACAGGCCGTGGCTTAATGCGTAGGCATCAAAGATTTCTAAGCCGTTTGGCGATTGTGTGGCTGCGTCAGCTGTGACTTCTTAGAATCTACGCTTTCTGTATGAATGACTCTAAATATTTCGTAATAATAAATACGATCCATAATTTAGTTATATGAGAAATCTTTCGTGTTGGTTATTGCGTTGTAATTACAATGAATTGTGTGTTTGGTTGGGTGATTGTCAGAAAAGTCACACACCTGGCGATTCTCGCTTCCAGTTATTTGCTGAATTGCAGATATAAAAAGCGAAGCTCTAAAGTGTCCACTTGAAGGTTAAACCTTAAATTAAGTTCAAATTTATATCTATATGAGTTCAGTGGTTCTTAACTAATTTCAGCCTGTCAAAAATAATGCACGAACTCCTCACAGCTGAGAATCTCTGTACGCGCTCGGAATATGTCATTCTATATATTAAATTTCACAGTTACTACGTTTATATCACCTGCTTTGTATTATACAATAAGCAAAATTAGCTATGCCATAAAATATTGAACATTTCGAGATTGTTGTTATTCATTTCGTATACAAATAAACATCGCACTTCATAAAGTGGCTAATTGGCAAGTACTTGAGAATTGTTTTGTGCAGAAAGTAGACAAAATTTGCATAATTATCGACATACTACTCAACCGCCGAATACTTTTTAGTTGGCTGACACAACCGAATTTACTGAAGTGTACTCAAAAACGTCTTTATATAAACCATACATTGATTATAATTGGTTTAAAACAAAAAAAATGTTTGAAGAGCTGGGTATACGATTTTATGCTGTTTTAGTGTATTGTAGAGTTTGTAGACTTTTTGAAAATGTGTAAAAATCTAAGTAAATAGATTTTCTGCACAACGTGAATATAATCACGCAATTATTACGCTTTATATGTTTAGTGTAGAGTTTGGAGACTTTTGTAAAATGTGTTGCAACTCAGTTGCTGAGTATTTTGAAACTATGATATTGCGTTTTAATATTGAGCAACGGTACAGTGTCGAGTTTGAAACCTGAGATAAACTACCATATTAATATAGGCCATGATTTGAATACTTTCACTTTCTAGAACTTAAACTTTTTTTTTACTTGTACTAGTCTAGAACTCTCAGTAAACTGGTTTCTGTTTCAGTTGTATAGCATAATCTGGTTTAGAATTTTTATATTAAATTCCAAAAACAGCTCGCGAAGATAGTATAATGACACGTGGCGAGTAGAAAGATATATATTATTTGGAAATGCAGATAAGCAAATTCGCATTAAACTTTTCTTTGTACTCGTATATACATATGTACTACATCTATAGGTAGATATGCATATATTATCGCATTCTCATTCAATTTATCAGACTTTTTGCGCAGGTCTACAATTACATATATTAGTTAAGCACAGTAGTCCATCTTACACTTTATATTTGCTTAGCAAATAAAGCTGTTTATTTGCTTAACTTCCATAGAATCACACAAATGAGTCAATTGCGTCAAATACATACTTCCCTTTTACATATGTAGGAATGTTTGTTTGCACTAATGTAAGAACTGTGTCACATGCCATGGTTGTAATCTTAAAAAACTGTACAAATATTAAATCACTTTTAAAAATAACAGCTCAAATGTATGTATGTATGTATCTACGGCAGAAATTCAAATCTGTTTTGCTGTGGTAATAATTTTTCAGTTAAAATTCATCTTTTTTATAAATAAATTTTTTAGTGAAAATGATGTCCAAATGATTGAAAACTATTTTGTAACATAATTTTACAATTGGTGAGTTTGGAGACTTTGATGAATTGCTTTAAGATTTTAGTTTTTCGTTGACAATGTTGCACAAGTATTTTATAATGCTTAATATTTGACTTAGAGATATTTTTGCTGAGTGTAGAGTTCGGAATTTTTATGCAAACTGTATGATTGTCTAAAAAATGTATTATAATATTTTGGAGTGCATAATATTCGCTTACGGAAAGTTTACGTAAAGTGGAGAGTTTGGAGAGATTTTGGAAATTTGTGAAACTTAATTTTGCTTTTTAGACGATGGTCATAAATGAAAAAAATCTTCAAGCTTAAAAATTGTTTTACCTCCTGTAGAGTTGGTAGAGTTCATAAAAAATTAATATAGCCATTTGTTTGATAGTGTGTGTATTTATTAAAAAGACTTCGATCCGCACACAAATTAAATTCTTGTGTAAATGCAGCTTACAGTATTCTCAGAATTTTCGTATCTGGCAAAATATGCGCGTGCTAGTTGCTACTTATGTATACTTTCAATATAAGCGCAGATGCAAAAATGCTGTAGCAAGCGTTGCAGCTTGTTGCAACTTGTTTTCGCATTCCTGGAAACTGTCTAGGCTTATCGTTGCAATTCGCTTTTAGTGCAAAAACGTATTTCCTGGAAATTTTTCGTATTACGCTCTTTTTCAGCACCATACTCTTTTTACGAAGAGTCACTCAGTTTGTCATTATGTGACTTGTTTTTTCCTATAAAGGACTCCATTTGTATTTTCGATTGTGTATATGTATTAACGTAGCATATGCATATAGAATTATTTGTCAGAATTGCTTACATATCATATTAGAGTGCAGGAAATATAAATAAATTTCCAACAAATGAATTTTGGCTTATCGCCTTTAATGACTCTACTTATATAAATATATCATCTTATTTTCCATTAAAATTGATGAACGCATGCGTGCAACACCGTGCATAACCGCTCGCCTCAAACGCGTCATATATTGCAATATGCGCGCTGCGGCAGAGGTGAAGGCGCGCAGGGTGTCGGATGTTACTAAATTGGCGCGTTCGCATTTTGTAAACAAGCGGGTCACACAATTACTAAATTAAAATAAAAACAACGCTACTTATGAGTAACTTGCTAATAAATTACGCGATTATTTGTGGGTTCAATTAAATCTGAAATCCGCGGATCATACGATCTGTTATAGCGATCACGCACGCCCACCTGGTGAACGTGTTCAGAACATTTACAGCCGTGAGTGTAGCGCAACGCGCTCTTTATGTTTGTAACTAATCGTTGTGAGTGGGCGCTCAGCGTCCGAGTGAAAGCGCGCTGCTGAGAGCACAATACGCGCGCTCACCTCAACCTATTCACTCAAAAGTTCCAAATCATATCCACGATATTCTTTGTAATTTGTTGAGTCACCGCGCCGTATGTGCGCGCTCATTTGTTAAGCGCGTTCCATTTCATGTGTTAGTAGAGCGCTACCACATTCGCCAGCCGGCAAATGAACGCGCAAACACTAAACCCACATCAAAAAGCGTCTCAAGCAAAACAAAGCCATAACGACATATATGTCGACCTGCCATCCGCTCATCACCTTCGCCGACAGCGCACGTTAGCGCTCATCAGTAACACCGTGATATGCGCGCTTCACCAATTCTGCAAGTCTCAAGAACGCCATCAACAACAAAGTCGTTTGCTTATCGCAGCGCGTCGATCGCCTTGCTTGGCGCGACATTTGCTTAAAAAGTATAGAATACAACGGGGTTCGTTTCATTTGCGTTAAGACAGCGCGTTTGTACAGAACGTACACTCTGTAAAAATAAGCCATAAAAATTCCGTATAAACAGAACAGACAACGAGATCGCGTCGTACGAGTCAAAGCACAAGTGTGTGTATGTGTCTATTTAGTATCGTTAGTTGATCATTTTATTTTTTCAAAGTGAATAAATTTTCAAAAACGTTTGAAATGCACAATTTGTGCGGTTCGTAAGCTTCTAAAAGTTTTGAAATCTTATATTTTTTATATATGTGCATTGCATATATATGCCTTGCCAAAAAAGGTACGAGCCGTAAAAAGAGATTGATCGAAGATCGCTATTGATTGACTGATCGTGCGAGCGTTGAGCGTGTGTTTATGTGATCGGAATTGGAAATTGGAATTTTTCAACATTTTTCAACGTACATTTAATCGTTGGAAAACCAAAAACGGAGTCCACTCAAAGTTGAACAGGTTTAGAAACATATAAACATAGTTACAGTTTTGTTTTAAAATATATATATATCTACAAATATATGTGTAATTCTCTCAAATAATTTGCGCACGCACAACACTTATAAGTTCCTTAATTTTATGCACACTGTGCTTGAAGTAATCACAGTAATAAAAAAACAAATAAGTAATAAAGAACACAAAAAAAAAAACAAAAAAAAAATGCCGAATGACTGCCACTAAAAAAATCGCAGATAAAATTGTAAATTGTAAGTTCGTGTAAGCTACGGCAGCGACATACATGAAAAATGCATTCATTATATCTTAACGAGCATTTATTTGATGCACAAACAAGCACGAGTCTTGACCACAACACCGAACGTAACAGTACGCCAGTGTCCGTTGTGGCGGCAAAGAATACGCAACTGTGCGTGAAAGCGCATAAACCGATTGAAAAGAAATTGCTACTTGCTTTGAAAAAGTTCATCAAGTGAAGGAGGAAGTGTCTAAGCCAGCGACTAGCGAGAACAAAGAACGACACTGAAAAGTGAAAGTTAAGGAAGTGGTGCTAAAGAAAACGAACAAAGCGTTATTTTTTTTTAGCGAAAAAAGGCGTGAAAAGTACAATATTAATCTGTGAGCAAAGTGTTCCACAAGTTCAATACAGTCTTTGAGCTAGTAAATCTACAATATAATAATTTTGTTGAAACTGAAAGTGTATTAAAAAGGTGTGAAAAACAGGAAACATGTAGTGTTTGATAATAAGTGTTCAAATTAGTGGAGAAAAATATCTGTAAACTGTGATAGATACTTGCATAAGCATTTTTAAGCAAAGCGTGGCTATTTTTGCTGCAAATTATAGAACAAATAAAACAAAACTTAAAACAATATTGAATCAGCAAGCAGATGTGCTTATAAGTGTAACTGTAACTAACAGAAATTTAACGGTTGACTTAACGTAAAAGCAAATACACAATTTTGCTATAATTTATAGTAAAAAAAAATAAATAAAAAACTGACAATTAAAATTCAGTTAAAGGATTTAAATTTAAAGTTACAACGTAACCCAAATCGCTTTTCAAAATATTTCACGTCAATTTTTTTTTAAACAAATAATTTCGAAAACTCAAAAACTTCTAAAATTTTCGAAATACCAAAAATAAAATCAATAAATATTGAAATTTTGTGTCACAAAACACAAAAGATCCGCAAACAGTATTAAAATTTAGAAGTCTGCAAAACAGTCTCCCTCACCTAAAAACAAAACAACTAAAATGATCTTCAACAAATACATCGAAAAACTCTCCAACTCCTTTGGCGGCATCTCCACCGCCAAACAGCAAGAACAAAAGCAGAATCAGCTCATCAATGATTACAACAATACGCGTAACATAGAATACGAAAAGGCAATGGCAGCCACTTACATTAATAGTGGTCACTATCAGCATTATGAGAAGCAATTTGTTGCGTCCAAAAAGAAGAAACCCAACAAAAGCCAACAACAGCAACATCAACATCATCGTGATTTTCTAAGCAACGATGAATTGGCGACGATAAATAATAGCAAGAGTAACAACAGCAGCTGCAATAGCAGCAAAAGTGGCAGCAGCAGCAGCAACTCTCAATATCACAGCAACAATGACAAAAAATGTCATAGTCAGATTGGTAATTACCTAAAGGTGCCTGAACACTCGTTCAACCGCCTCAACACCAAAGATATACCCGCCTTACGCATAACCACCACAGATTTGCAAATCGATTTGCAAACGCGTGAAATGGATGCTGGCGATCTGATGCCATCATCATTGCATTACTATGAGGGCGACATCTATCGTACGCCACTCTCATCGCTGAATCCTTCACCCGCCTCGTCGTATACAACTTCGCTGTCGACCGAGTCGTTAGCAGGCGCCTGCAGCCCGTGCTCGTCGATGTCGGCTGCTTCGACGCCTACCTCGCTGTCGACGTCGCCACCGCAGTTTCACAGTCGTCCGCCCTCGCTGCGTTTGTCCAAGGAGTTGGCCACGATATACTGCAAAATGCTGCACTTTCCGTGGGTATTTTTTTAAACTTTTTTTGGTTATAAATTACTTAGTATTTATTTTTTAGATATTCTAGAGATATTCATTATAAGTTCATATATATTTGATTAAATATTCTTGAGATATACTTGAGATATTCTAATTGATACGTTTCTAATTTTTGTGTTTTGTGACGTTCAGATGTAGTTGATTTCGTTAAAAGTGCTTAAAATTTCTTGAATTTCTTAGTTGTAGCGATATGCTTTAATTTTAATGTAGTGAAGAATTTGGAGACTTTTCCAAAATGTGTATACTTTCTCTAATTAACACATTAGAGGCGTTAACTTTAACTTTTTATACTATTTATTACATATATTCGCTGGAGAGCGAAATGGTGGATTTGGAGAATTGTCCAAAATGTGTATACTTTCATTAATCACCTTTTGAGCGATGTTAATTCAGTTTATTAAAGTATTTATTAGATATATTAATTGAATTAAGAATTTGGAGACTTCGGAGACTTTAAAAAATGCACTAAGAATACAACGCAATGAATTTAATTTCATCACTTTGTGATTATTTGCATTTTTTTCTACAATAAAGACTTTGTAGACTATTGTAAGTGCTCAAAATTTTTTCTTTCAACTTTGTAGTTTTCCTAACATAACATTTTATTTAAAAATATAACTTTCCCAAAATCCCCGCCAAAGCAATTACAATACAATACTGTAAGTAAGACGATACTTCGGAGAATCCGTCGCACTCTTTTCCTTTCCGCTTACATGACGTTGTAGCCTAATTATATACACGAAAGCGCATCACTGTGTTGACTTTATTTATAATAATCAACGCTTTGATTGTTCTGCCCCTTCTTTTTAAGCCACACACCACCTATAACGGTAATTTATATTTAACTTTTACGCTTATTGACGTAAGTGATTTACATTAAGTGTATTGAGTGGGTAACCGTTACAAGCAGAGGTCATACAAATCGTTAAGTTGCCAAAAATATGTTACACTTTAATAACTTATTTCGCAAACGACTCAGAAATTAACATACAACTGCATATGTATGGAAATATGTACATACAAGCTTTGTGCTTACCAGCCTGCGTACATTTATACATTTTTAGGAGTATATGTGCGTGTTGGGCAATGTTTTGTAATATTTTTGTGCGCAAATGTTAAAAATAAATTATTTGCGCTCACGTTTATCAAGTTCACACAGCTACATATGTATATACCTACAAACACACATATGTACATGTGCAAATGTGTACAACCTCAGTACTTAATATAAAAGAAGGGCTTAAAATGTGGTGGCTGAGCAATAATAATAAAAAGTAACGACACCAACGCACATCGAATAATAACAATAACAACAATATTGCGTTTTGCATTGTGTGGCGACGCTTGTTTGTTTTTTCTTCTCATTCAATTTAATTGCGATGCTGATTGAAAATGCGTGGCACTAGTGTCACTACAGATAATTAGCGAGTTGGGTGAATTGAATTTACTCACATGACATTTTTTGAGTTCGTTATTTACTTATTTTTTGGTTGGTGATGTAGAGAGGTGGTCATAAATTTACAGAAAATATTAAATGAAATATATTATAGAGTTGTTTGCGTGAGATACACATGAAATTTCAATATTTGCTTATAGTGGAGAGTTTCAAAATTTTGCAAAAATAGCATTATTACAGTGTTTAGACCTTATGCTTTGTTCCGAACTAATATTTAAAGGTGTTTGATGTTGTGTAGAGTTTGGAGACTTGTAAAAAGTTATTATTAAGCATTGCTTGATTGATAAAATAGCTTTTAATCGTGTTTAAATTTATCTCCAATGACTTTGAAGCGAGTCTACTATTTGGAGAGTTTAGCACACGTTTTTTTAAATACTAAAAATTGAACTGGAACCATTAACGGCGGCTTAATACTAATTTTTACGCTTTTAATGTTCGTGTAGGCAGTGTAAAGTTAATTAAAAGCACTCTCATCTGCTTTGCTTTTTTGCAAACCACAAAATTGTCGTACACGTGATTACTTACGAGATTTTCTTATAAGCACGAATGCATGAAAATTTCACAAAATTCCCAAGATGTTTTCTTTTTAAAATAAAGTGACTGCTTCGCACTACTGGCCCTTCTACAAAAGCGTTTTAGCAAAAAGAAAACGCAAAGAGAGCGGCGACCATACAAGTTAACGAAATGCACACAAACATACACACACACATCTGTATAAACACGGGTGGGTGAACGCACGTGCGTTTAACTGATGTGGTGCCCGCTTTGATTATTTTGTTTTTGTATTTGTATTTGTTTTTCTCTGCTTAATTTATTTTTATTTGATTGGCGTTTGAGCGCTGCAACATTTTGTATTCTCACACAACACTTACATAATTATTTACATTTCTCCATAAAAATTATCGCAATTTCATAGGCGATTATAAATAATTGTGATTTGACGTTGCGCTGCCGCTGATTTGCTTATTTCTACTTCCTTCAACTGCTTAACTAATCTTCTATTGTTTCAATTACTTTTTGTTTTTTTTTTGAAATTTTCTCTAAAGTTCGCATTACAAGGCAATTTTTGAGTTAATTCGAAAAATAAATATCATTACTTCGACAATACTTCTGTGCCGTCTCTAGCACTTTTTGTGCGCTAGACATTCACATTGCCCATATTTAATAGGCGCAATCAGCGTTGTATACATTTTTACGCAAGTGTCAACTGATTTTCTGTAATTGTAGCAATTGCGACTAGAACATATGTGCACAAACCGCAAATGTGCGGCAATTACGTTAATCATACGCCCCCTGGTGTTTACTAATATTTGCATTTAGGCGTACAAATGATATGCTATTGCGGCAAAGGAACGCTGCTATTAGAAATTACTTAACAATTAGTTGACGTAATAATATTTAGAAATAGTAGTAAACAATAAATGATTTACTTTCAAGCAATTGTAGTGTAGTTGAAAAGTGAATAAACGAACGAAAAATGGGAATAGAAAATTTAGGAAAAATTTAAAAATAATGGTATTAATTTTTATTTTCAACATATTTGCAATAAAAATACAAAAAATTAAAGTATTGGAAAGTTTTTGAAATTGTGTAGAATTTAGTGTAGACCTAACAATTTATTAAAAATGTGGCGTGATATAGTTCATGGTTATTATATATGTTCTTTTATACAAACAAGTGCAAAATTATTGTGTAGACTTTCAAAACATTGGTTGAAAAAATGTAAAATCCATTGACTTATTACTAAAATACTGAAAATGAAGCAAAACTAGCTATTTCTAGTAATTTGATGTAGGAATTTTAATTTATCACCAACCAGAGCAGGTTTGTGCTATTGTAGAGTTCTGCACAGCAGGATTTAATTAAACAAAAAAAAAAAATCGAGTGAAATAGTAATGTAAAATTTTGGAGAGCAATATTACAAAGTAAAAACACAATTTTCAGTTAGTAGAGAGTTTGTAGGCTGGAACAAAATTATAACGTACGTACACAAACTGCAAAATACAGTTTACCAGCGTCCTCTGTTTTATAATGTAATGGCCGAAAATGCTATTTTTGGTTATTATACCGTTGCTTGTAAAATTTTGGAGTTTTTTTCAATATAATTAAACCTTTAATCTTAATCAGCAACCTAAGTTGTAAATCATTAAATTTTATTACCTTTGTGATCTTCTACGTATTACACAAAAAAATTTAACATTAACTATTAATAATAACTAAATATAATTAATTAGCTAGCGGGTCTTTTGACAAAGCTAATACATTTAAGTAATTTGCCAAAAAAATACAATATAATAAAACCATAACAATTATAATAACACAATATAACCAAAACTTTAGTAAAATTACATAGAAACATAAAAAAAAATTATATCAAACGAAATATTTACGAAAAATAAAATTCTAAACGAAAAAATCTTAATGTACTTAAAAAAATTAAAAAAGAAAACAAAATAAAAATATGTAAAAAGCTCAAAAAATTGAGAAATGGCATTATTAAAATTTTAAAAACATTAAAAGCATTTGGAGATTTTCAACACTTTTTTTTGAATATGCATAAATATAAATTTAAAGGAACTAAATTAAGTGAGAATGCATTTTAGTACAATAATTAGTGTTTTTGAAAAGTGTAGATTTTTTGAAAATTTTTTTTCTGGCAGATAGAACAACAAAATGCTGCATTTTATGTATAACATTAAACAGTAACACTTATTTTCATAGCAAGTTTTGGAAATTAATATTAAAAAATTAAATGATTATTTCATTTTTTCCAGAGGATTGAAATTTAATTGCCTTCGCAATAACCCAGTTTTTTTAAAAACATTTTTTTTTCAATTTATAGCGCCACCAAGTTTTATAAAAGCCATAAATTTATTGTTAATTACACCATATTTCACGCGTGAAAATAAAATAAAAATTAATTTTTTCGCAATCTTTTGCGCCCACAAACAACCAGCTGCCGCTGTTGGCGGACCAGTTTTGCGCGCTTTCATTCATTACAAACTGCTGTCTCGTGCGCCTATTAAATGGTTTGTTTACATCGTATTTGCTGTTGACCTTAATCGCGTCAAAACGATTTAATAATGCCAGTGTTGAAACGTCATGCGAATTAAATTAATTTCTTGTATTATCTTTTAATATATAATTTTTTATAATTAAATTTCTCAGCAATATATAATTGTATGCTTCCTGGTCCAGCTGTGTTATATAATATTTCAGAAAAATTAACTTAAATAATAATAATAAAAATAAAAAATAATTATTATTAAAAAAGTAATAACTTAGCGAAAATATTTTTTCTTAACATTTTTTTCTTGATAATATAATATTTACTTATTAAATTTATTAGTAAATATTCCTGCTTAAAGTACTCTCCCACGTAACTATCAAGCAACTGCTAATCAATGCCTTTATTTACCTTTTAGTGGTTTAGTTTTTTTTTAACGAAAAAATTTCGCGCAATTTCTACGAACCTTTTAGTAAACTGAATGGAATTGTTGTGCAATA